TGTATCCGAATCTACTGAACAGTTTTCGTCCAAAAGATCAAGCACTTGTTCGTCAGACAAGTTACGAGAGCAAGATGCCATGGTGAACTAAATAGCTCAGCTAAGGGACGGTCCCAAGGCAGAAAAGAAACAAATGCTGACATAGGCGCCTGGCAACCTCGATCCCTAGGTTCGTAACATCGTACATAAGACACCAGATAATAAGTGGTTGAATAATTTTTCATACCACACTTTTTCCCTTGTTTCCTACTGAAATACATTCTGAGGTTTAGTTTCTGAATTCCCATCAGCATACACAAACCTAGGAATACCTTAATTTCATTCGAAATTGTGGGAACCCACTTTTGAAAGCGTGATTTTATTTGCGTTAGGGGCAAGAAACTGTGCCGCCAGATAAGTTACGTGACCGAGATGCCATTGAGCTCCGCTGTTCATAAATGTTGACACAGGCGTCAGGCAACTTCGACCCCTAGGTTCGTAACATCGTAAATCAGACACAGCTGTTTTGTCGCCAGTAAGCTAAGCCAGTAAAAAAATATAGTAACACAAACACAGATAACAGGAACTCAATGAAAGTTAGCCAACAAATTATCTCTCTGAAAGCAAGTCGGAGTGTGAGTGGGAACAGTTCTTCTGCAAGCAGCAGACACCAGATGCTTTGTCCCAAGCAAAGCGAGTAAAAAAAATACCACACACAAACAGATAGCGAGGAATGAAAGAAGTCACTATTAGCTCATATATACATTCACTGGAAGTACATATATCAGAGCGTAGGCATTAAGAATTCTTAGTGAAAAGTTTGGACGCAACATATGCGGCACGCACGCTTACAGCACGGGTATGAGTGGACGCAGCCGGTGCGTCGCACACGCTTAGGGATTTAAATGGCTTCGCTTAAAGTCACGCTCAAGGGGTTAAAGTTCAGGATTGTTTGGTCATTTCATTATTTTACAATTATGTTGTGACCGCTGAGGTTAACACCAGATGAAGTATAGTAGCATTATGATTGGTAAGCTGGGAGGAAGGATTCTTGGTTTAGTTTAAGAAACATTCCCAGTGCTTAAGAGACTGAGAAAATTGAAAATCTGAGAACTTGCTGTAACAATGAGCTTGATTTTTCTAGCTAAAAACACATCTTTCCTGCCAAAACTGATTGGTTGTCCCCCATAGTCCTGCTGGTAGCTGCCCTGGAGCCATGATACTCCCTACAAACCATCTGTCATCATCGCTTCCCCTTGCACTTCCTCAGGAAGGAATATCCTTGTCAAAACAGTTTTTTTTTTTCACATCTTGTCACCCCTGTGTTAGGCCCCACCTTTTTCTAAAGGTCACCATCTGCCTTTCTTCCTGCTCCTGCATCTCTTCTTCAGCCATGTGGCTTATTTTTCTGCCCCGAAGATTAATTCAACAAGTTCCACGAGAACACGCGTAACTTTTACCACATTACACAGTGTCACATCCAAGATACAGTAATATTCATATTCTCTGCCATGAGAATCTAAGATATCATTAATGAAGAAAATGGTTGTTTTGTTATGCAACTGCTTTATTGTCATGTCTGATTTATTCTGATAGTAACCAAAACATGAACCAACAATGTACCTAAAAATGTATTTCAAAAGTAACTCAGAAGCCAAGGAGCCATACCTAGATTACCATGCATCATTTCTTGTTGTTTTATTTTTGTTATGTTTTCTTCCAACCTTTTCTTTGAGGCCCTGCTCTTTTTATTTTGAAATCTGTTGAATTTGGACAGCATCCTTTAGTGTGCATGACATCTGATTGGCAGGGAAAGTGAAACGTGGCAGTGTCTGCTGTGTACCAACCTTAAGGAAATAATTGATGCTCCTCCCAGCCCAGCGGCAGAACGGAGAGGTCAAGGTTTGAGCCACCGGGATCAGAAGTTGGCAGAGAGAATTGTCCTAGAATTATACTGCCAGTATGAACCAAGTCTGCACTTCAGAGAGACTGTTGGACCGGAGGTATTTTTTATGCTGTGTCATGTGTCATACTATGCTTTACTGCATGATAAATGTCTCCTTTTTGTGGACAGAGATGAAGCATGAACGTTGTCATTGTTGTCTTGACTGACATATCTATGATGCAATTAATATATTGTTATTTTTCAGCATGGCATTACATTTGCTTAGAAATTTTGTAAGAAGCTTTGGCATAATTATATTTTTGCCGAAATTGATATAGTCGTATTTTTCAGCGTGGAAATACATTTATCTAGAAAATTAAAAAGAAACCTGCCCCCTTTTTAACTGCAGAAGACGGTGTTACCAAAAATTATTTATGAAATTCTCTATGGGAAACTAGACAGAGAACTACTGAAAGGTAGTTTTAATCAGGTAGATGCTTCACTACATATGCTTTGTAATATACAGCAAGCAGTTGGTATTAAATATTCTGATCTTACTCAGCATAATGAAGCTCTGGTAAATGAATAAGGCTAATGCAGCATCATGTGAAAGTTCTTGTAATTGTTTTGCATTCGCATATGCAATTTGTTTGCCACAGAGTACAGTACAATTTTTCATATTTGTTTGGATCCATCTCTGGTATACATTTATGAGCAAAGGAACTAATTATTTGATATTGATCATGCTGTAACAGGGTAGCAAAGTTTGTACTGTCATGATTTTGTCGACATCTTTTGTCTTTAAAAATGTATGTCTAGTATAGAAACTATTGCATGTGGTTTTTTCTCTTTACCCTTATCATCCAGACTGTTGATTGAATGTTGTAATGGAGTATTATGTTTTGTCTTCCAACACATAAAAATGCTAATGCTTTTGCTCTGTCCAGCTGTCAATCTTTCCATTCTAAACTGGTGCAGGTGAATTTATATTTAATGTATCATTTATGTATAATGAGAAATCTTTATTGTTGGATATATTTATGTATGTTTGATAATATTTTATCTCCCTTTTATAATAAGTTCAAAGAAAGTAACCCTATTCAAGTACCCTCATTTTATTGTAGCTATTTTAACAAAACTTATGATTCAAAATAATACAGAGTATAACGTGAGATACTGTTAACTCTTTCCTTACCAGTGAACTGGTTGAGCCAATGAAGCAAATCATTGTAGGCCATGTCATGATTCAGTCTGACAGGTGCTTGAAAGATTGTTTTCCTTTGCATGAAATTTGGTATGAGAAGGCCAGACAATATATTAACCTTAATCATCTTAGAATAGGAGATTTAAACTTCCCACTACTACAGCACTGGTGGCCAGATTTTAAATTGAGGAACAATTGTACGCACATTCTAAATAGTGTGATGCCTCACCCACTGGACCTCTGAAGTTGCTATCACATTAGTCGAACACATGGATGATAAATCCATCAGTTAGTTATAGTTGCCACTATGCTTGAAGGTGCAGATAAATGAAGTTTTGTATTTGTCTTACCAAATATAGACAAAACGTAAAAAATTGTTAGACATGTTACATGTATTTCACATGATTCTTGCTCATGCAAGGACCTGCTTTCAAGGTACTTCATCATATTTGTTTTAGGTGCAGAAGGCTGTGAATTCTTAAGTACATGTAGCTAAATGTTATTGATTTTTCAGTGCCAATTTTTCTTAAGGGTAGGAGAGCTAAGAGTCTTGGGGTATGATTTTTCATGGTGATTCTGTAAGAAATATGATCAAAAAGTTCTTGGTTGGAATTTTTTCTACATACTAAATATATTTAGTAGCTTCTCCATGCTTTTCTCTTCCATTGTAACCTGAAACAGTGAGTCTGTTGATTCTGCTGTTGTCGGAACTGGAAGTTTTGTTTTGAACAGGCTTCTTTTAATGCTGGTATCAAATATTTTCCTCTTGAGTGCTAACTTGAATTTTGGAACAGAAAAAGTACACACGGTTGTATCTGGAGAGTGCGGGGGGCAACAGTCATGCCATTTCATGCAATTTTTGGTCAGATATTCCTGCACAAACAAAACAGTAAGCAAGAAGCAAGAGCATTATTATTGTGGAGTAACCAGTCTCTGGTATGACATTTCTTAGGAGGATCTTACTGTACATCTTCCTGTAGATGCTACATAACTATAGGAATGCCAATTCACAGTTTGCCCCTGTGGAACAAACTCTTTGACTCTTAAGTTCCATATTTAAAAAAACATATCAAACACACCCTTTACATTTTAAGTTAAAAAATTACTGAAATGTTTGACAACTGCCTGCTGTTTCCTCTGCAAAAGAAAATTCTAATGTTTTCATTTGTTTTCAAAGCACTGTCACCTAGTAAGAAACTGAACTTGAGCAAACTTTAAGGTCGCAATTTTTTGGGAGGGAGTGTTGGGAAATGCGCTATATACAAATTTGCACCAAATTAGTTGACTCAAGTGGCAGTGCTTTTGACTTATATTCTGGAAATGTCGTGTTCATATCATTGCCAGGATGCCAACTGTACTGACAGGTTTTTTGTAATTTTAGTTCCTCCAAGGAAGTACTAGGAAGGCCACAATCACTTCCTTGCACATCCTTTCCAGTTCATTATTAGCTGTCATCCAGTCATTCAACACTGCATAGTCTGAGTTACTGGCAGCATTGTAGAGAAAAATATAAATAAATAGAACACAACTTTACTTCATGACACATCCTCTGGTTTTCAGACTGTTCCAAAACAATTAATCAGATTATATTCAACCATTGTCCAAGAGAGACAGTCTGTATTAACTATTGTAGTGTCACCTTATAGCCAATCCAGAGATTGATCACATCTTACAACAAAATTATAATATATACTTCAGTCTTAAAAGAATTTAGTTTATGTTATGTTCAGTGTTGTTAGTGATCCAGAAAGGATATGAGAAAGTAATATGTCACTATCTGAATATAGAAAACTAAAATACAGCGTTTTGCCATACTTTTAGGTGAAGGAATACCATGAGAAGATAAAGAAGCCAATGTCATTGGACAAAATCCGGCGGAAGCTGGATGTTAATGATATGTGTCATTACAGCAACTTGCAGGAACTTGTTAGTGATGTCCGTCTCATTTTCAGGAATGCATACACTTTTAACCTGGTAAGTTCCGACACAAGACATTCATATTGGTACATGTTTCCAACATGTGTCATTGTCAGCATCTCTATTAGATGCATGTAAGATCTCTGCAAATGGAAGTACAAGAATCTTGACCTATGAGTATGACATGCTGTCCAGTGAATAGTCACATGACTCTTACAAAGCTGTGCATATATATCATTGCCTTATTTCTCAGAAAGAGCCAAGGTAGTTCAGGGAGCAGGGACTTCAGGCTGTGTAGGATATCAGGTTTTCCCTACAGTGATTATGAAAAGTTCTTTCCCTGGGATGTAACACTGTGCATTGGTTGACTTTCAATGTACTACACAGCATTACATGGTGCATTCAAGTTCTAAGGTCTCCAATTTTTTTTTTCTCACACATTAATCATACAAAAAAATTGAAACTTCTGTCACTTTTCAACGTAATCTTCCTGCAGCCATACGCATTTTTCACAACCTTGACGCCATGATTCCATGGCCGCTGTGAACGCTTCTGTAGGAGTCTGTTTTGACCACTGGAAAATTGCTGATGCAGTGGCGGCATGACTGGTGAATGTGCGACCACGGAGAGTGTCTTTCATCGTTGGGAAAAGCCAAAAATCGCTAGGAGCCAGGTCAGGTGAGTAGGGAGCATGAGAAACCACTTCAAGGTTGTTCTCACAAAGAAACTGCTGTATCGTGTACGTCCGATGCGCTGGTGCATTGTCCTGGTGAAAGAGCACACGTGCAGCCTTTTCCGGCTGTTTTTCTCGCAGTGCTGGAAGGAGCTTGTTCTTCAAAACATCTTGGCAGGATGCACCTGTCACCGTAGTGCCCTTTGGAACGCAATGAGTAAGGATTACGCCATCGCTATCCCAAAACATGGCCACCATCATTTTTTCATCACCGGCGCTTATCCAAAATTTTTTTGGTGACGGTGAGTCTGTGTGCTTCCATTGAGCTGACTGGCACTTCGTTTCAGGATTGAAAAGCAGCATCCATATCTCATCCATTGTCACAATCGATGAAAAGAAAGTCCCATTCATGCCTTCATCATGTGTCAACATCACCTGGCAAGTTGCCATGCGCGCAGGCTTGTGGTCGTCCGCCAGCATTTGTGGCACCCACCTGGAGGGCACTTCCTGCATTCGCAGGTCTTCATGCAGGATTGTGTGCACAGATCCCACGGAAATGCCAACTTTTGAGGTGATGTTTTCCGCACTCAATCGGCAATCCTCCAAAACAACTTTCTCAACTCGCTCAACCATGTTGTCAGACCGGCTGGTGTGAGGCCGAGATTGTTTTGTTTTGTTGTCACACGACGTTCGCCCTTCTTCGAACTGTCGCACACACGAACGCACATTTTTCACATTCATGACACCATCACCACTTGTCTCACTCAACTGGCGATGAATTTCAGTGGGTGTCGCACCACGCAAGTGGAGAAAATGAATGATTACTCACTGTTCTTGTATCGAAAACGTCGCCATTTTAGGTATCAAAAACACTCCTCACTCTTGCTACCACCACTAGAGTTCTGTGTGCCGTACAGTGCTGCCGTCTCTGTCACGCATTCACAAAGAGTGCACACGAATTTAAAACTAACCCGCATGTGTGTAGTTGCTCCTAGTCCTGAGAAAAAAAAATTGGAGACCTTAGAATTTGAACGCCCCTCATATATCTTCAGACTTCTGGCTGCTTGACTGTGATTCAGTTCCTATCATGGGCAGAGATTTTTCACTTTCCTGCTATCATGAAAGTGGGAAAAGAAGTCTCGTTTTGGTGTAAGGACTATGCAGTAGGTAGTAAAGTAAAGTAAAGTAAAGTAAAGTAAAGCTATCCCTGTAACAGGCCATGAAGGCCCATAGGGTTGTGAGACGTTGAGGGTCCTGCATTATCTAGACGTTCGGCTCAAAGATGGCAGTAAGGTTGTCAGCCTTACGCGCCAGCCGTGCTTTACTCCCCAGGAAAATTATTTAATTAATTCCTGGTACTCATTTCTGTTAGAGGCTAAATTGGCCAAGGGCCATAGTGCAGCTGAAAGGATTAGGTCAATTGGAAGAAAATCCAGTGACCCCATCGGGACTTGAACTTGCTACCTTCCAGCTTGTAGCATAGTGCCTCAACCAACTATGCTACCGCGTGCTTTCAATATAAAACCAGTAGGGATGTAAATGCCGACTTACGTGATTGTGACAGTTATTAATATCATTTTACAGAACTTCGTAGTTGTGTTATCAGAAATAAGATTATAGTGCAATGTTAATAAGAAGCTTTTGCTTACAATGAAAGGCATTTTATGTTTAATTGAATTCATTCAATTTTCAGTATTTTGTATTTTACCCAGCTGAGTATCAGGTCCATCCATTTTGTTGTATCACACCAGTTGAGAAACATTGATTTAGGGTACTTGCCTGTCGGGCATACCACAGCTAATCTGCACATCAGGTCATCAAGGATATAATAATATGAGGAAGAGTCAGTAAATAGGTCACAGATGGATATAAAACATAAAATGTGTGATATTTGAAACTGGAAAAACATTTGTTTCTCGACATATCCTCTGCCAACATCAATATACTTGACCCATCGCTTTCCCAGTGTGTTGAAACCTGCAGCATAGAAGTCTTTTGTCTCAGCTACTTCCTCGCCTCCATTTCAGCCTCTTTCTCATCAGCGAACCGTTGTCCACCAAGGTGATTATTAGCGGACCAAACAGATGGAGGTCAAGAGGGGCCAAGTCCGGGCAGTAAGGCGGCTGTTCAAGAAGTTCCCACTATAGTTCTTGAATTCTCTCCTGGGTTGCTCAGACTATATGGGGCTGGCATTGCTGTTGGCATGAATGTTTTCTGCAAATTGCAAACTGAATCTATATCAGAACTTTGTAGTATGATGCATAATTCATATTTTCACCACACTACTAAAAATGGGCTAATAGTACTCTCTGAGAATATCCAAACACTGTAAGTGAACTGGGATGTTTCCGTTGCAATGAAGCATGCTTTGATTTGGGTTGGTAGTGTTGCACCCATTATTCATCCCCAGTAACAATTCTGTTAAGCATATCTTCCCCTTCATCTGCCATTTTGACTACTGAAACCAGCCTCTGACCACACGCATGCAACTGCTACCTAGACTGTCTTGAAGCTGGACTGTGCTACTACCTAGTGATATACATAAAAGACCTGTTAGATCCCTTACAGCTGTTTTACTTCCATTTGTGACTTGTTAACTGACTGTCTCTCATATGTGATAATGGAAATATTTATCTAACATGAATTCACCTCGTAACTCTGCAGAGATTGTTGATTTGTGTCACTGTTAAAGTTTCAAGTTTGATATGCACGGCACGATTGTGGAACTGTTTCAAATATTACTGTGTCACTTACAGAAAGAGAGTCAGATTTATCAGGATGCTAGAACACTTGAAGAATTCTTTGAACATCTGTTAGAGAAATGGCTGCCAGGCTATGCATATGACTCTGCATTACCTTCAGACGATGAATCTGACTCACCTCCCCAGAAGAAGTTTCGTCGAATTGTCTTGCCTGAATGACGTGAATTGTGTGCTCCCAGCGGCAGTGGTGTGGGAGCATCACAGCATAATGAAAGCATCAACAATACTGAAACTCTTGGAGAGAAACAAAAAAGTGGGCAATAAGCTAAGTAGGTAGAACCTTCAGTGAGTACGAGAGAACTCTTGGTGTATAAGTAAAGAACGAAACTGAAATCCCTTCATATCATAGCATACACATACACGCAGACACATTACTAGCATGCTCTTTCTACAGAAATCTCATGATATATTAATGTGTTTGTGTCCCTGTTTGTCTTCCTCTGGCAGGCCCCTACAGTCTGATGTAATGTTATTTTACATAGAATTTCATAGACATGTAAGAAAGAGACATTAATATGTTATGTTGTATAGTACCTGTGTTTTGAGGCTTTTTACCAGGGCTGTTGAAAATTGTTTGATCTAGGACTCCAGCTGTGCTTTTTTATATTTTGGCCAGTACACACTTGTACAACCTAGCAGTAACTTAGTGAAGGATGAGAATGGTGATCTGCTTGCAGATTCACACAACATTTTGAATAGGTGGAAGAACTACTTCTCTCAGTTATTGAATGTGTATAGGGTCAGTGATGTTAGGCAGATAGAAATGCACACAGCTGAGCCATTAATACGTGATCCCAGCCCTTCTGCAGATGAAATTGCTATTGCAAAATTGAAAAGTTATAAATCGCCAGGTAGTGATCAAATTCTGGCAGAACTTGTTCAAGCAGGAGGTGAAATATTACGTTCTAAGATCCATAAGCTAATTACATCTATCTGACATAAGGAAAAATTGCCTTATCAGTGGAAGGAGTCTATTATTGTACCAGTTCACAAGAAGGGTGATAAATCTGACTGTAGTAATTACTGGGGGATGTCACTGCTATCAACTTTGTACAATTTTTTTTTTCCAATATCCTTCTCTCAAGGTTAAGTCCATATATAGATGAAATTATTTGGGATCATCAGTGTGGGTTTTGACGTAACAGATCAACTACAGATCAGATCTTTTGCATTCATCAGATATTGGAGAAAAATGGGAGTACAATGAGACAGTACATCAGCTATTCATAGACTTCAAGAATGCCTATGATTCAGTTAGGAGGGAAGTACTGTACAATATTCTGATAGAGTTTGGGATACCCATGAAACTAGTTAGGTTGATTAAAATGTGTTTAAACGAAACGTATAGTAAAGTCCGTGTAGGTAAATATTTGTCTAATAAATTTTGTATCCAGAATGGTCTAAAACAAGGAGATGCTTTATTGCCACTCCTTTTCAACTTAGCTTTAGAATATGTCATTAGGAAAGTCCAGGGAAATAAGGTGGGACTGAAATTAAATGGGACACATCAGCTGTTGGCCTATGCCGATGATATGAATCTACTGGGTGATAATGTAGATACCATAAAGAAAAACACACAAACTTTAATTGATGCAAGTAAAGAGGTTGGTCTAGAAGTAAACACAGAGAAAACTAAGTATATATTGCTGTGTCGTCACCAGAATGCAGGGCAAAATCATGACATAAAGATAGGAAACAGATGTTTTGAAAATGTGGCAAAGTTCACATATTTGGGAATGAGGATAACAAATCAAATCCTGATTGATAAGGAAATTAGGAGGAGAGTGAACTCAGATAATGCTTGCTGCCATTTGGTCCAAAACCTTATGTCTTCTTGTCTGCTATCCAAAAACATAAAATTAGAATATACAAAACTATAATTTTTCCTGTGGTTCTGTATGGATGTGAAACTTGGTCTCTGACATTAAGGGAGAAACACAGACCTAAGGTGTTGAGAATATTTGGACTGAAGAGGGATGAAGTGACAGGAGGTTGGAGAAAACTGCATAATAAGGAGCTTCATAACTTGTACTGTTCTCCAAGTTTAAATAGAATGATCAAGTCAGGGAGGATGAGGTGGGCAGGTCATGTAGCACAAATGGGGGAGACGAGGAATGTGTATAGGATATTGGTGGGAAAGCCAGGAGGAAAGAGACCACAGGGAAGACCAAGGCGTAGGTGGGTGGACAATATTAAAATTGATCTTAGAGAGATAGGATGGGATGGTATGGATTGAATTCATCTGGCTCAGGATAGGGACCAGTGGAGGGCTGTTGTGATCACGGTAATGAACTTTTGGGTTCCATAAAACACTGGGAAATTCTTAAGCAGCTGCAGAATTGGCGGCTCCTCCAGAAGGGCTCAGCTCCATGAGTAAGTAAGTAATTACACACTTCTACACATACCAGCAAACAGATGCTTTGCACACCAGTAACATAACTAAAGTTGTATGTTTGCAATGCAAATTTGAACATAGAGTACTGGCAAATGTTCTTAGAAAAACAGGCACTGGAGACCAGTGACAATGTTCCAAGTTCATATGAAGACACTGTTTTCTTCTGTATATGATCTATATAAAAAATAAACTAACATCATTATTTGCCTAAATTTGTACTATTTTGGTAAATGTCATATTTTAAAGGATTATTTCAATGCTGTGTTTGTAGAGAAACAGAATGACTGTATCTTGATTTGGGGTTCTCACATTGGTGAGTATCAACATTACAGTCTTCTAGAATGTGTTGCCATGTGGATTAGTAAATACATACAGATGTACCTTACAGACAAATTTAATTTTACCTCACCAATTATTCAGGATAAAGCAAAACATGAAAAATATTTTCCCTAATTAATACTAGCATTTCAATATTTTTAATAGAGCCAGGTGGACCACATATGCCATAACAATAATGTAATGCACATATAATGAGGGTCAATTAGGTGTTCCAGAGTCAGTGCTTTATCCAGCAAGGTACATACACAAATAGAAAAAATTACTACTGTATATCAGTTTAGTTCATTCTTTAGAACTAGTTTCATATTATATTTAACTCATAAGTATATTGAGGATATTTATATAGGATGGGATGGTATTGATTGGATTGATCTGGCTCAGGATAGGGACCAGTGGAGGGCTCTTGTGAACATGGTAATGAACCTTTGGGTTCCATAAAATGCTGAGAAATTCTTGAGTAGCTGCAGAATTGGCGGCTCCTCCAGAAGGGCTCAGCTCCATGACTGAGTAAGTAAGTAAGTAAGTAAATATATTGAGGGATGTCACGGTCATGCAGGACATTTTATTTTTTTAGTGTCATCCACTTTCGGGGCTTTGTCCATCATCCAATATTATAAATCGGAGCACAATGTTTTGGGAGGCTCATCTGCTCTCATCCTCAGGTGACGACAGTACACATTCAGTGGGTCCATTACATCATCATCTTAATAACCCTTTAGAATTAATTTTTTCTCATCTTGGGCACATTATTCGGTTCTACATGCATCCTAGAAATTCTTGCACTTGGGAATATGGGAGTCAGAATTTGATTACAATTCATTCTACACGCAGTGGACTGACATTATCAGATATACAAAAAACTGTGCAGTTTATTTCGAAGGATGATATAGATGAACAGCGATACAGATCTGAATGAATCTCACATAAATTGTGTAGACCATATCAAAATATTCATACAGAAATATTTGTTAAGTTCAGCAGATTTGTTACATCCAAAACAATTTTCCATTCTGAGTGCCAAAAATAGGCATTTTGTGTATAATTCAATCATATTCTTTATCAATGTTGAATATGACCCCCTTTTTCTCAGATTACAGCTTAAACTTATCTTTACCATTGCTTGATGGCACATTACATGTTGTGATATCAGAAGTCATGCATCTGAAATTCTTTGATGCAATAACTTCAGAGATTCGAATAATGTGATAATCTAACAGATTCAGTGTGGGGAGTCTGATCATTGTATTGTGTTTATTACACGTTCCAGCACCTCCATACAAGGCTGAAGCAATTGGATACAGAACCTGTCACACCACAAGCTTGCTAAATCAGCAAGTAGTCAGCAGAACAATGCACATAAATCCACAACAATAAATCGGGCATATGAAACCCTACACATCACTGCAACTATATAACCTACCATATGTATATAAAAGTGGAACATATACATGACAATAGATCAAATAATGGGTCACAGCCACAGCTAAACAAGAAACTATCCCTAATTAAAATGTTCATCTAAAGTGCAATAGGATCTAGTAGGCCGTGCCATAGCTCAAGCGATTAGTCTCTGATATCCCACCGTGGTGGCCCAGGTTCAATCCCGGGTCTCGCCAAGTGGGATTTGAGGTGGACAAAGTGGCGCTGGGGCAGGTTTTCTCAGAATATTTCGGTTTTCCCTGCCATCTTCATTCCACCAAATTCTGCATCATCATAACAAGCCGGGGCAGGCTACAATGGGCCAATCAGTGGCTGCCGTGCCAAGTGGACCCAGTTGGACTCCCCCCCCCCTCACTAAGCGAATAAAAAAAATAGAAAATAGGATTTAGCATGTAAAAAAGCACTTAAAGCTGCTCTAAATTGCTTAATATTATGGATTAACTCTTTTATATTTAAAGGAAGATGATTAAAAAGTTTTATACCAAAATAGTATGGTCATCTCTGGTTAGTCGTCAAATTTGTCTGAGGGAGATAAAGATCAAAATTATACCTAGAATTGAGGCCATGAATTTGTGATGTCATGTGATATAAACCCATATTATTCACAACAAACTTCAATAGAGAAAATATATATTGGGACTGCAATGGAAAAATTCTCCAATCCCTAAATGCATTTATTAATCTGACAAATTCAACTGCAGGGTCTAGTAGATTTTATTATGCAAACAAGAGGCATATTCCAGATTGCAGACATAACAAGAAAACGGACTAATGAACATGAAAACAAGCTGCTGCAATAAAACACCTGGGATAAACATACAATTCTAAACAAGTGGACAACACCCCTTGTGAGGTGGAATTGAATTCACCAAAGTAATGAAAATTTAATAGAAAATTTTATTTTATTAAGTGGACTATAAAGCATGTGATTTCAACGCATATTAATGCAGTGTAGCATTTTTAATATATTAAGACACCTGAAGATGGCCATCTAGGGCTGAAACATGTTGTGTTAAATGTTAAAAGTTGTGAATAAACAATTGTTGCAGTCCTGACGGACTGTGAATACATAGATGTTTAATGAAACATTTGCAAAAGGATGCTGAAATACAGAATAAAAACTAAGAGCCCCAATCAATACCGGCATTTCAATATTTTAATACAGCAGAACATGCTATAAATTTGTAATATTTAATTTTTAATTATTCAATTCTGGCAGTGTCATCAATTATATTTTTACACACATTTATTAACACAAAACTGTGCAGTCTGCGTTTTATGGAGTTTAAGCACATAAAAGTGATGCTGATACTTGCACAGCCACATTCTCCTATTATGGCAGAAATTTGTAAATTTGGATTGCTTTCTTCAACTCTGAAATATGACTGAGACAGAGAGGCACTAGTTTCCACTCATGTCTGAAAGTTTCTCTATGCTACAAATTAAATCTGGCAAGATAAACATTCAGTTTTCTATATCTGTCTTGGCCTTT